TGCAGCTCTACATCTAGAAGCCATTATAAATATCCTGCATTATGAGGTAATAGAATTCTGGACTTTCCTAATTTGAAACTGTAGTGCATTTGTAAGTGTGTGTATGTACATGCATGGGGGGATGGGTTCTTCTGAGTTTTCATAATCTGTGTGGTTGGGGGACACTTATTGTCATGTTTCAGCCATATCAGGATTCTTGACATGAGTCATAGACATTAGGATCCTCAAACATTGCTAGAAGGCTATAGAGGAAATGCTCTGGAGGTTTATCACCTAATGAAGACTTGAAAGAGTTTTAGAACTGTAAACTGTCTCTGCATCCCAGTGAATAAAAGGGCAAACAAAAAGGAATCAAATGTCAGCTGAAAAAAGCTTTAAGCTAAACTAACTTATAAACACTGAACTTTTCTGAATGCTATATCTATGTATAGAAAAGTTTAGGAACAAGCTATGCAAATAATTTATCTGTCTTAGTCCAGTTCTCTGAAGTGGCTTTTAATTTGGGAGAAGTGGGAAGAGATCTATCTGTGCCAGGTGCCTCTGTCACTTGAGGATTTCCCCTGTCTAAATGGTGTGATCCTTAAGTACGCTACACACAGAAAAAAGCTGGCTAGACGTCCTACCTTCCTGGGAGGAAAAAAAGACATAAATATTCTACTATACTTTAATATGAATTTGACCCCTTTGAAGCTGAACATTGCATAACCTCTGAAAGTTTAATAAATTGCCAGTAACTTCAGATACCTCTATGTCATGGCTCAGCTTTTTAACAATACTTGTGATTGTCTGGATGTGATTTTCCAATAGCTGGTGGGCTGCTGCCTCCCCTTGCTGAAAGCTTTTATTTCCCTGAAGGCATGAAACAATGCCATCCCTGATCCGAAATGCCTGATCCAGAAGAACAGCAGTGGTACGCTCCTGATTAGATATCCGGTCTTCCAGGGAATTCACTCTGCTTCCAGACACATTAGGAATTGCAGGCAGAAATGGCTGGCTTGGAGTTCTGTCCAAAGGAACCACATGAGTTAAGTAGAAAGGAAGTTAAAGGTAAGCCATTTATTACTACATCAAGCTATAGCAACAAGATAAAATAATGAAGTACATTTAGGCTGCAATTCTTGCCTACACCTCAAGTGGCATATTGCTATCTGTAATGAATGATTTAATATCTAAAAAGCTTTTAGATTAGAGGAAGAGGAGGAGGAGGAGGAGGAGGAGGAGGAGGTGGTGGAGGAGGAGGAGAAAGAATTCAACTCTGGAAAAATGACAGACATTTACAGTACATAGCAAATACAGCAATGTGTTGTTGGAAAGTAGACACAGTGTTGTATGCATGTACGTATGTATTTATTTATTTATGTTCCAAGACCAAGTCATAGAATTTAAGAATACAGCACACCATTAATACATGCATAAATAACTATATATAGTACATGCATATATAAAAGAAATAAACCCTATAAAGTTAACATTTCACTGAAGGCACCAAACATTTCTATAAGCTAAAAATATAAATAAAATTGTTGTTATTGCCTTTGAAACAATACAGTTGAGGTATTGATCATTTAATAAGAATACCTCAATCTCTCCATCATGAGTGTTTCAGACTCAAGAGTGGGTGTATTAACTCTGATCATCCATGTGAGTACAGTGGGCTCTTTAAAAGGATGTGTGAAACAGATTCAACTTCTATGTTTGAGCAAATACATACTCAATCTTCATAGGGTTGTTGCAATATGATATGTTCTTTATTCAGGAAATAATTCACTCCTATTCTTATTTTAATGATGCTCAAAAATCAGGCAAAAATTATTAGAGTTTAGGTTCAAGCTCCAAAACAATTTAAAATGCCTTCTATTCTGTGCCAAGAAAATAAGTGTATAACAGTTAGTGAGTAATTTAAGTGCAAAGGGATTATAGAACAATTGTCTTGATCAAGGCCTAAACTGAAAGTTATAAATGAACTGGCCATATATGATCTCAGCATTTTACATGGGAACTTACTACCCTCATAAAGTTGCTGTAAGACAAAGCAAGATAAAGCTCATGAACCTGAAAATACATACAGTATTAAAGAAGTTATATCAATTATTAAAAAGAATATAGTAAGTCCTAAGGGACTGCACTAAGATTCAGGCTGTCTTACACTCTAACATACAGAAATCTCAGGGTGATCTGAAAACATTTCCACAGCCTCACAAAGAAACACATTTTGTGTGCAGCTGCATAAACATCATTGCTGAGTAGGCAACTGCACGCAGGCTTCCCAATGGGTTGTAAACATACTTTATGAAGAAAAAGTTTAATAGTAGGAAGGAAGAATTGTGTTTTTAATGTCAGAGGGAAACAAGGATTGATATGTATTCTGCCAAAGGCAGAAGGAAAGATTGCTTCTACATTCTTTCTGGTGAATATATTTCCAGCTATTCTGGCTCAGGTAGAAATTTTACAAGCTATTTAATTACAACCTAATAAATTTGTCGAACTCTTTGTTGGATTTTTATGCCCAACTCAGCAAAGCAAATAATAAATGCATACATTGTTGTACAAATAGGGTTTTACATATGAGGTATACATAGAAGAATTTACATGATTGGAAATTGTTTGTCCCTTAATCTTGGAATCTGGAATCACAATTCTGAAGCCAGACAGAAAATTATTCTCACTGTTTTAATTACTATTTCCTTTTCCTTCATGGGTTGAGGGGAGGAAGAAAAGAGATTTTTTATCATAATGATTAAAAATAGCCAGTATTTCTTAATTATTATCTTAAACAAAAGGCTTTATTAAAGTGGATCGATTTGGCTGAAGGACATGGTAAATTCTGAACACTAATTTACAGATTATTTTGATGTACCAAGATTTAATCTATTCTCTCATATTTAACATTAGAACAATAAGAAACATATAGGAGTGTGGGTGTTGGTGTGTATAGATGTGTGTGTGAAAGAGAGAGAGAGAGAAAGGGAGAGACAGATCATTATTAGCTCAAATCAATCCACTGCAGGATAAAGGCCTCTTCACTGTAGGTTATGGACCATAATCTACATGCTAGTTTAGTGCAGGTTGGTAGACAGATATTTTTCAATTTCCCAATCTAGGGCTGAGACAGAGTGACTGACCTAAAGTCATCCAGCCAGCTTCCATGTCTAAGGGAGAACTAGAATCACATTGGCTCTCATGTGTATGTGCATGTGCGCAGAGTATAAACCAATCCTTCCCTTTGGCCTTAAATAGGAACATTTAGATCAGCACAGATCTCACAGGAATCATTCAATTCCTATTTTCATAATACACAGCTTAACAACCTAGATTATACTAATTCATTCTTTCTGCTATATGTTTTAGCCCTTTCATTCATAATTAAACCTATAATTTCACATCTTGCATGTATTCATCAGTTCTACTCCACAAGATCATACCACTTTTATTCAGCTCCATTGCATTCTTCCCCTTTCTCTTGATTTCAGACACCCACAACAGCATTTTTTTTCTTTATGTAGTCATTGATCATTTCATGTTCTTTATCACATACTCATCTTACATTCCAAATTACACTCTTTCATATGTCATGGTTGTTATCAAATGGGCCTACAGATACTGACTTCTGCTGCCTGTAATGGCTTTGGTCAATCAAAACATCCACATAATGCTTTTTCATAAAACAGAGAAGGCATAGACCAGATTATCAGCTTTAGTTGTACCCATGCCACACATAACATTCCCTGCTAATGGTAAACACAGTACTGAGCTGTTCTGGGACACTTTGGTCAGTATACCACAAGTACAATGAAAGCTTACTTTTACCCCAAGGATACTCACACTATTTTATGCAAGTTAGGATCTTTAACCTAAAGATTATTTTGCAAACCAATTTGGGAAATAGCCTTTAAAACAATAAACATTGTTAAGAGAATAGCAATGAAAACACAAACAACAACAACAACAAAGCACTCAGTGAAGAAGTAACAGTCAATGGAAATGGACTGAAAGCAAAAAAATAATAATCAGTGGAGAGTAGCATTTAAAACACTATTAAGGGAACAGCAGTGAATAATCTCGGGGTGCTAGCAATGGAACAACACATATACTACAGTTTTTAAGGAAGAGAAGAAAGCCAATATATGATCTTTTTTTCTTTGAATGATCTGGATAAGCAGCAGAGAGGAGGGAGGAGACTGATACATGCTTCTTAGCATTTAAGTCAGGAGTTCAGCAGAAGACTGGAAAAATGCAAAGAGGGATTACTGATAAGCCATTTTATATTGTAACATGCATATATATTGGGGGGGGGGGAGACAGAAAGGATAAGGACATCACACTTTCCTGATTCTCAAGAACTGATAGTAGACAGAGTCTCTAGAAGTTCATGAAAGGACAGAAAGAAGGCATTGGTTCTTTCTGATCATCCATCAAATCCAAAAAAAAAAAAAAGCATCCAGCAAATTGCTGAGTCATTTCAACATGCCTCTTGGCTTCTTAAAGTTATGGTTCATCTGGAGCTGGGATTCAGATCAATTCAAAGGATGGACATTGGTATCTCCTTTCTCTGATCTAGACCCAGTTGACCAGATAAAGCCAGCTGGCTCTTCCAGCCCATTAAGAATTAAGGTTGCTCCTGGGACCCAGGAACTGTGTGGTTTTGAGACTTTAGGAGATAATGTATTGGAGGGGCTAAGTTCAGCTCCTTGAAAGCCCAGCACTCTCCTTGGGCTGTAAGTGCAAGTCCAACTCAATGGAGGACCCTGACAGACCTTTTCCCTCTTCATAGTCTCACTAGCTGGGCTCATGTCCAGTATGTTAAGGAGCTCTGGCCTCAGGGTTCAAAGAGGTTTATCTCTGGAAAAAAGAAAACCTTGCGAAGTGTTGGGTAGGGGGAAAACCTGGTCACCTAATTACACAGCTTCCCTTGAGTGGCTTTGGCTATTGATGGAGATAAAGGCTCAAAGTTAGTTTTTCTCTCTCTCTCTCTTTCTGGATAAAGTCAGTGGTTTTATACTGTGTCTGCCTGATGTGGATTATTCGGGGGCTCCTAAATTGTAATCTCATCCAAGAAGGTCACAAATGACTTCTCAGTTTTGACTGCCTTAACAAACTATTGTCTTAACGTTATTCCATTCTTCTTACATTCAAGATGATCAGCACTGATGAGGTCTGTAATGCAATCAACCTTTCACCAGAATGTCTGTGTGCTCATTCCATCTCCCCACAATTGAAGTGTTATCCCTTTAGGCAGTGTTGTCATTAAACTCAACCCAAAAGGTCACATTTGCAAGGGGCAGGGGGAATAAGGAAAGGAGGATTCCTCTTAAACACTGCCCTCTAATAACCCTATGTCTCCTTGAATATCTGATATCAAAATTTTTTATCCTGTACAAGCCTAAAATGGTACAATATCAAGATTCCTAGGATGAGTCTTTCCAGTCTAAACTTAAGGGGAGGGATTTCTTATTGAATTGGGAACATCATTATATAACTCTTGATATTCATCTTCTAGGAAAAAGTGAAATCACTGAATTATATTGTAAATAGTTCTTATAGAATTCAAAGAAACTTATTATAACACTGATATTACTTCTGCCACGTTCAGGATAAATATGTGCCTATATCAGCACAATCACACACATAACAGCATGTAGTATATTGGTAGAGGATCCCCAGCATATTTGGATATGACAGAATAAACTTGTTTATTTTGTCAGATCTTATGATATGTAGTTTTTTTTTCTGGAACAAAGATCAATGTAGCAAATCCTTCCAATGTAAGACTCATACTATCAGCTGAAAAAATAACTAGAGTTACAGTTACACGCTCTCTAAATTTTTTCATTATTTAATTGCTTTTTGGTTTGCTTTTTCTGGCATGTTTAAATATAAATTTCCCCCCTGGTTTGAGTCTTCTGAAAGCCCACAAAAGGGAACTAAAAAGTTCAGTTGTCTTCTGCCCTTCATGCTGGTTCTTTCATCAGTGTTTATCTCAGTGGGAAGCAGATAATGAACTAAAACATTTGTACAATGCAAGTCTTTTTTTTTTTTTTACAAAGCCAAGTTTGGAGAAACTGTTTTTAGAAATAGCTATGGGAAAATCAAAGGGTAATCAAAACTGCATTCCTGGCATCTGCCTTATGTAAAATGAGGGGTGAATATCCTTTTCCCCATGAAGGGCTGCTGACCCACTGCAAAAGAAAACTATGGGGTGCAGCCAAAGCTAACACTCAACTGATCCACAATCAGAAATGTCCAGTTCGCAGGAATGAATCACAGTGGACCACCCCATTTCTCTCTTTTGGACAACCCCACATAAAATTAGGGCGGTCACATCAGGCTTATAAATGCCAGATTTTCTTTTCCAATGAAGAGAGCATTTTTATTAATTTAGGAGCTAAGAGTTTTTAAGAGAGAAAAAAAATCAGTATAGAATGAGCAAATCTGGGGGTGGGAATGGGCCATAGATTTTTTCAGTCAGAGGGGTCCAAATTCATTCCTCAGTATCTCCAGCTGGGGCTGGGAGAGACTCCTGTCTGGAATCCAGTAAAGCTTCTGCCAGCCAGTAACAACTGTACTGAGTTAGACAGCCAGGTAATCTGACTCACTGTAGGAAACTACTTGTGTTTTGCCTTTTATATGTTTTGAAAGGGATGGTGTGATATATTTATCACCTTAAAGATACAGTAGGCACTCCAGCATGATGTGGTTTGTCTCTTTGGGCTTAGTTGCCACGTGAGGTTACTACTCTGCTTTGTAAACTAATGTTTATTGCTTAGAATGTTTTGCAAATCCAATCAATTTTGATTTGTTCAATAAATTATGTTTAAACCATGTCTTAGAGTGATATATGAATTACAACTATATTAATAACCAGAAAAGGGAGTATGAATGTGAAGAAAATCAACTGTTCAAAACTGGAGACCAGGCAGCCTGGATCTATCCACTAAAGTCTGAATCAGAGAATGGAAAGGGTTGGAGGAACACTTGGGGATCTTTGGGTCCAACCCCTTGCTCAGTTCAGGAATCAGTTACTACAGCAACCCTGACAAATGGCCATCCAGCCTCAGTTTAGAAACCTATAAGTGAAGGGGAGTTTAGAGTGAGTGTGGTGAGATTCTGTCTAGCAGATGCTAGCTAATAAAGTAACTGAGCTGTTCCAGTACTGTCTCGTGGAGTTTCTTGGGCTTAACCTGACATCAGTCTCGCCCGACTCACTCTAAACT